AAAAAAAAAAAAAAAAAGAACGGTCCAAATCCAGAACACTGATAACACCAAATGCTAACAGGGATGGGGAGCAACTCCATTCATTGTGGGTGGGAATACAAATCAGGACAGCCACTTTGGAAGACAGTTTGGCAGCTTCTTACAAAATTAACCAAACTCTTATCATATGATCAAGCAATTGCACTCCTTAGTATTTACATAAAGGAGTTGAAAACTTATGTTCACACAAAAACCTGCATAGGGATGTTTAGAGCAGCTTTATTCATAATTGCCAAATTATGTGCGTGCCTGGATGGCTCAGTGGGTTAAGCATCTGCCTCTTAGCTCAGCTCAGGTCATGATCTCAGCTCAGGTCACGATTTCAGGGTCGTGAGATTGAGCCCTGCATTGGGCTCCGTGCTGGGTGTGGAACCTATTAAAAAAAAAAAAAAGAGTGCATAATTGCCAAATCATGAATTGCTAAACTGCATGGAAGCAACCAAGATGTCCTTTAGTAGGTGAATGGATAAACCGTGGTGCATCCAGACAATGGAATATTATTCAGCACTGAAAAAAAAAGAGCTATCAAGCCATGAAAAGACATGAAGGAATGTTAAATGCATATTTCTAAGTGAGAGAAGCCCATCTGAAAAGGCTACCTACTATATGAGTCCAATCATATCACATTCTGGAAAAGGCAAATGATGGAAATGGTAAAAAGATCAGAGGCTGCAGGTTAATGAAATCAGTAAGACAAAGATAAAGAAATAAAAGACCTAAATAGGCACTTAATGTGCAATAATCAATGAATGGATCCTAAGTATCTGAAAAAATATTCCAATACTCAAACTCATTCAAAATCAGGAAAAATGCAGATTGAAACTATGAGTTCCTAGTTCATATCCACAAGATTTGTAAAAAATTAGAGTTGATGATAATCTGAACAATGGGAACATTTATAGGTTACTAGTTGGAGAGTATATTGTTACAACATTTTGGAAAACAGTTTGATGTTATTTAGAGAAGGTGATGGTGTGTATTCTCTATGACTCAGCTATCTCAACCTAGTATACCTTCCAGAGAAACTCATGCTCATATGCACAACAGTATTAGCTGTAATAGCAAAAATCTGGAAACAATTCAAATGTCCATCAATAATAGATTCCAAAGTAGATAAATACATCGTGTCATATTCACAGTATGTATATGGTAAAATAAATGAATTACAGCCATAGATAACCACATGAATGAAAGTCAAGAACCTAATACTGAGAAACAAAGCTAGCTACAAAAGAAAACTCACTGTATGATTCAACTTAAGTAAAAAAAAAACATGCCAAATTAAACAATATATTGTATAGAGCAGAGCTATCCAATGGAACTCTCTGCAGTGATGCAAATATTCTATAACTGTGCTGTCCAGTATGGTAACCACTAGCCATATGTGGCTATGAAGCACTTAAGATATGGCTGACATGGGCCTGGGGGGCTCGGT